ATGATGATGATGATGATGATGATGATGATGATGATGATGCGGATAAATTTTTATAAATTCTTTTATAAATTCAGGTGAGCTCTGTGATACCGCTGTCTTGACAAGGTGACCCTGATTTAGTTTAGCTATATGGAAGTTTAGTAACTGGTTAATAAAAGAAAGAAAAATTTAATCTGAGGAAGGAAAACACATTGTTACGTTTTAACTGAATAGAATGTGAGAATTGTTCTTTCAATTTACAGGAGATGAATGAACTTGCTATTTTTGACGTCTATGTTGACTAAAAAATTGAGTCTGCTTTTCATTTATTTTTGTTTTGACGCTTTCATTAATATTTGCTAGAAGTAGAAGTGTTCAGAAAACAGTTGAACGGTTTGGTTTCCTGACTTGCTGAGAATATTTTGACTTCAATTTGCCCTTTCCTCATAAATTTTGTAGTATAGGACAAGACTAGTGAAATAATTTTGAAGATTTTTTTGTTTTCAAATCAAAAAAGTGCTTGCCTGTTCGATTATGAAGTCTTGTATTTGATAAAAAACGTTTAGATTTGCGACATTTATGGTGGTTAAAAAGGAGGAAGCGGAGTGGTTGTTTTTTAAACGACAAAAAGGGGCCAGCTATAGCAGGGACAAGTAACAGAAGAAAATATGATAAAAAAAATAGAAATTTTCCCAGACGAATGAATAACATTAAGAAATGAGGGAGGAAATGACTTAACTTTATTAAGGATGTAGATAAATAATAATGCATGAACTGGAAAAATCTTTTAAAAAATTTTTTTTATAAGCACCACGCTTTTTTTTAATTGCAATATCTTATTTTTCACCAAACTACGTTTATCTTTTCAATATTATTTCATACTTTCATGATCTGGATCCAAAAACAGCAACAGAAGCAAAACTTGAGTTTTTTTTTATATGACCTAAATTACGCCTTAGGCATAGTATCTTATAAAAATGTTTGTCAAGCCGCGTCTTTTTGCTACCAGCTGTAATTTTAAAGCTTGGAGAACCCTGGCTTTACCACTGGAAATTGAAGTTTGCTCTACCAGTTTCGGAAACTTTCTGAGAACTTTCTTGTACACGTATTTCATTTGAGTACCAAAACTTACAACCAATCGTCTTCACTCACATGGTTTTCTGAAATTGTGGGAAGAGAAAAACTTCAGCAAAAAAAACTTTTGAAGCAAAAAACTCAAAATGTTGTTTGCCTATATGAATGTGTGGTTGATAAACAAAAAATTACAATAACGTCCCTGTTGGCGACAAGGATGTCGATGTTGATAATAATGATGATTATTATAATGACCAATATGGTTTTCATTTTTTTCCGTAGAAATGGAAAGCATTACCAGTGGAATGAATTTTTTGAAACGACGGTTCAGTTCGCAAGATTCCTGTGACGAGAAGACACCGACAATGTCAGCTACAGCGCCAGCGCAGCAATCACATACCACTAACACGTCTAATGGTTTTCCGCTTACAACCGGATTTTCGTTTTCAAATATTGCTAACAAAGTTTCTAGCACAATTAGGTGATAACTTATTTCTTTCTATTCTCCAACAAAAATTTTACTCCTTTTTCTGAGTTTTTTCTTTTATTGCATTTTGTACATTAATTTTTTTTTGAACTACAAGTTACTGTTAGTATTACTGCTGAATTTTGTTTAGTAAATAATTTCAATAAAACAATATTTACTTTCTTTAAAATCAAGTAAATAAGGTGAAGAATTTTTTACATCAAACAATGTAATCAAAAAAGTTTTTAATACTTTTTTTATTGGTTGTGTACATATTTATTTCTTTTTGCGCAAACTTTTGCTGAATTTCTAAAAGCAGATAAAAGAGTTGGTTTGTTTTTTTAGTATATAAATAGAAAATTTTCAGTCATTCTTTCTTCTGCTGACTCCTGGTTGCATTTAACTGAACTTGATTGATCTTTTTTGACAAATAAGTAACCTCACTATTCTCGTGGAACACTACGCTTGTAAGAAAGTTGTAACTTTTAGTGCTCCAAGTTCGCCATCTAAAAGTGGTATGTCGGTGTACTCGCAGGTTCAGGGTATAACTAAAAATTTGATGCATGCTGCATCTGGTGGCATCTCCTATAACCAGACTCATCGTGGTAATTATAAAACTGTGCTTATTATTGATGATGAACCAGTTGATTGGTTTGTGTCACTTACTTTTTTTTTCTTCTCTTTTATTTATTTATTTCTTTCATTTTTCATAAATGACGCTGTCGTTTACTATACCGTAGCCGAATAAAGATGAAAGAAACGCTATTGTAATTTTAGACTAACGAATAAAGAATTGGTTTTATAGGAACAAATATTTTCGAAATAATCGAACGGGTCACCATCTACGAATCGAACAGGTATAAAAATAATTACCAACTTTTTTATTTGTTATTTGCCAAAAAAGACTTCATCTTTGCTAATGCCTTTTCACATTTCCATTTTTCTTTGTTTATCAACTCTTTTATTAACAATAAGCAAACTTTGAGTTCACCAAACGTGCATTTTCAAGTTAAAAAAAAAAGTGAAAAATTTTATCTTGCTTTTTTTTTTTTTTCTTTTGTTGGGTACTTTTTTGTCACTATTTAACGGGAACGAAATGTTGTATTGATTGTAAATTAAAACATTATACTTATTTCGCCATCTGGAGATTAGGACTGAAAGGAGTTCCGGTATTTGGAAAGGCAACATTAATTGAAAAAATGTAGTTATAAAAATAGAAAGCTATATGACGGCAAAAATTGTTGTCTGCAATATTGTCTTCTCCTTTTGTTTCAATAGCAACTAATTGTTGTTTTTCATTTACACAAAGCTATGTTTTCATCATTCTCAACGAATTTTTTTGGAAAGCCAAAAAGTGTTGTTATTATCTGTCTATTTTGAAGCTTTTTGAAGGAAAATTTAAGAAGAACAAGAAAAAAAAAGATCAATAACTCAAAATCCGCTTGCCATTTAAAAACAGTAGGCCTGGCTTATGCAAAGTACTGAATGGCTGCCATTCTGCCCCCCAGTGTTCTAACTATTCGTTTCCCCAAACTGAACCGACCTTAAGCTAGAAAAATGTGCTAGAGTGGCAGTTTTAAAAGAAATATACAGATAAAAAACTATATAGTTTCTTTTAAGGCACCGTTTTGGAATATTCACGTTTGCTGTTTTGGTTACAAAGATTGTACAGTTGAAATTCGAACAGAAAAAGAACGGAGGTTTTTTCATTTAAAAGCAGTTTTTTCCTCTTTTAGATTATATTTTAATTTATAACAAATGTTCCAAATATAAAATTGGCTTTCTTGATAAGAAGTCGCAAATTAATAATTTTCTACCGAAAACAATTTTTAGTAAGCAAAACTTTATTCTTTCCATTTTTATTGCAGAGTTTTTCATCCAGATTTTGTACTCTATCATCAGTTACCCAAAAGTGATAAAGGCGATTTCTCCAACATTGTTTTTGCTTTGCTTAAGTCTGGCGTGCCTACAATAAACCCACCAGAAGCTGTAGCGACATTCATCAACAAGATATGGATGGTTAGTAGCGTTTGGTCTTGCGTTGCTAAAAACGAGCACTTTCACCTTTAAGAATTCTGTTACTACCGTAATAAAGACTTCTTGTTATCTGAAAATTTTTTTACCGGCTGGCTTGTTTTTGACGTTGTATCTATATCATCCGATAATTTATGAAAATAGCAATTTTATTGATGTTTGTACAGTTCCAGTTTTCTTATTGCAGCACTGGCAACTGCAGAGGAGGGGTTTAATGCAGAGTATACCAATAATCAACCAGCAGTACTACCCGTCGTTTGAGCATTTTGTAAGTAAATGTTTTCATTCAAAGTCGTTAGATAAATGTTGAATTTTATTTTGTGTAAGAGTTTATATTCTCGTGTTTAATTCACAGCAACCAGTTGACAGTATACGAGGATGCTAAGCAACTGCTTTTGCGGCGTTTGAGAACAACAACAAGTTGACACAAAGGCATAAAAAGTAGCTTCGTTTCGGAAAAGAAAGACAGAAAGTGTAAACGTAATTTGGAAAACTTTGTTTTTGCCTTTTCTTTCGATTCCGTAGTTTTTGCCTAGTACAACTCTAAAATGAATCTTGAGCCCCTCCCTTTTTGCTTCTTTTGCCTTTTTTACTCATTTTTTTATTTTTTCGAATATTTTTGATGAAATATACCTTTTACATTTATATATTCTTGAAATATATGCAAATGTGGTTTCCACTTCTACACGATTCTGTTGAAGGAACCAACAACGAAGTTTCCAGTCGTCATCCGGGTTGGTCATGGTACTAAGGGCTGCGGTAAGGTTAGGCAGCTTCATATTTCTTCGTCTGGTCGACTTTTTTGTTTTTTTCGTCCTCTTTCTTTTTCTGTTTGTTTTTCATATATAATGAGCCTTAAGTGCCGCCAAACATTATCTGTTTTCAACCGTTTGATAAAGCACAAATCATTTAAACAAAAATTTTTGCTGAAAAAAAGAAAAAAATTGAAAAAATAAATTAATGTTGAGAAACCAGCCTTGCTTACTGCATTTGCATAGCATCAGTAGCATAAAATTTTTTTGTAGAATTTCACTGAGTATGAGTTAAAAACTGGTGGTAAGAATAAAATTAATAGCAGTTTAGAATAATAGGTTACTAAATTACACTGGTCCAGCATGTAAACTTCGCCAATAAATAATGATATCGTCTCGCAACCAAAAAATAAAGCAGTTTTCTAAGTAGCGGTTAAGTTTTAAATTTTTAAGAAGGTTTAGAAGATTAATACTAACTTGAAAAAAGTCTTGAATTAGGCGTACAAAAGAACCTTGTTTGCAGATAAAAATTGATAATGAGCTGCAGTTGTTAGAACTGGAAGGGATTATTCGAACGTTTAAGGGGAGTGAAGTAACAGTCGAACCATTTATCGAAACCAAATACGACTTACATTTGCAGGTAATCAACTTTTGATAAAATAGTAATGTGAGAAGACATACTACTGTCTAAGTTGAACAGATAAAATTTTTTTGTCAACTGAGAAGATTGATGACATTTTCAGTAACTGTTTTATGTGAAATGCGTCAGATTTTTGAGACACTTTTTCAGCAGTAATCCATATGCCCTGTCAAAGCATCAAATTGTTTGTTTTCTTTTTATGTTCTAAATAAGTGAGTGAAAAAAAGTAAATATAATCATAGTCATCAATGTCAAATATGGCATAGGGTTGAAATAGCTACTTAATAAACTGCTTTGTATTTGGACTTAACAGCTATTTTACCGCTAAAAACACAAAAACAAAAAAAGGACTTTTTTAAAAAATTAAAAAGAAGAAACAGATGAAGGAACAGTGATCTAATAATCGCAGGAATTGGTCACATAGAGAAAAGACAATAATCAACAAAAGCGTTCCATAAAAGGAATTTTATCTGGCTGGGAGGAGTCGGCAGAAATAAAAAAAATGAAAAAAATAGAGCTACAAAGATGACGCTTTGACTTTTTGAAAAAAAAAGAATAAATAAGTGCGATACACAGGAAAGTGAGGGTGATGCTTGTTGTACATATTGAAAAATGTCGTTTCCAGAAGATCGGAAGCGAGATGAAGTCGTTTATTCGTAAAGGAATCTCAAACAACTGGAAAAGTAGTGCGAGTTCGGCAGTTCTTGAGCAAATTGCAATTACTAATCGGTAGATTTGTAAAGAAATTTAAGAAATAGTTACAGATAATAAATCAATTTGTAAAAAAAAAGAAAAAATTACTTTTAAATTACTTGTCAATAAATTGTTTACACTGTTTAAAAGAAGACTTTACAAATAGAAAAGCCATCATTATTAGTTGCTTTATTATTTTGAACAATTTTAGGCACAGACAGCTGACTCAGTCTATTTCGGACATGTTTGGTGGGATGGATTTGATTGGCATCGACATTTTGGTAGCAAAAGATGGCCGAGAAATTGTTCACGATGTCAATGACGTGCTTAACTTACTTGGTGATGCACAGGAGGAAGACCGAAGAGCTATAGCAGATTTAGTTCAAACCAAGATAGTTCATCTGTACGTTACTTTTAGTATGCCTAATTTTTCACAAAAAAAAGAAGTTGTAAAATCTTATTTCAAATTGTATTCTAATTGAAACACGTTGCGCAACTGTAATAAAAAGTAGTAATTATTTACATATGTGAATTCTTTATTTGTTTTTTAAAAAAAAACCATCTTGCCTTCCTAAAACAAGAAAAAAAAAAGTCATTTCAAAATGTTTCACAATTTTTGAGAAAAAATTTGAGCTTGGTCAGTGCTGGTATTTTGTAGTTTCACTCAGCAAGCTCAGCAACAACAGCAACAGCATCATCCGGACGCCATAATACAACGAAAGCCTGAACAACCACCCTTGCCCCCTCGGCCTACTACAGCCACCATGACGCCTAGCAGTTCAATAGAACAGCCACATTCAAGTCAGTATGGCAGACTTTACGATTTAGACTTAACTCCACATTACACAGCATCTTTTTTAATGAAGGAAGCTATAAAGTACCCTTTATAGCGTCAGAATAAGTCCTGGAAGTGTATTTCAGTGGTTGATATAAAAAAGTACTCGGTTCATAAATAAGACTTCCATTTATTAATATAATTTTGTGACCGCACGCCTTCTGATGACAACTAATACTCGATTGAAATAGCCAACATCTTTATTAAAGATTAAATTGCTGCCACTTGTCATTATTTTGTATGACTCCTACTCTTATGTGTCTCCTTATGACCACGCATATTCTTCTTAAAAACTTTTCTCGCGTTTTTAAAAAATTTATTCTTAGCCAATGAGTAAAGCCATTTGAATAAAAGTGATAAAATTTTCATTATTAAGACTGAATATTCAGAAAAACTGCTACAGTTTTGTTGAAAAAACCTTTTTTTTGGCAGCCTTTCTTTATAGTTACGAATGAAAAACGTTTATTTCAACAATTGAGGAGCGTTCAGTATTAAGAAATTTGACTAATTTAAAAGTCTTGCAGTGAAAATGTCAACTGAACACAAAGACTCGCAGAAAAAGAATGCCTCAGAATCGGTGAAAGAGCAACAGCATCCAAAGCCTACGCGCCAAAAAAGTTTGGCTGAAAAAGAGCCGCTCAGTCAGAATTCCTTCCAAGACGATACTATGGGACAATTGAAACGGACGTTTGCTGGCATTTTTGGTGATGTATAACCATTAATTTCATAAATCTTCTAAAATTATTGTGGCAGTAGACGTCATTTTCATTTGAACTATTTTTTTGTTTTGTATAGCTTTACAAAGAGTTAACCATCTCTGTATTGGATTAGTTTTGCATATTCATGAATGCACGAAGACACGACTAAGTGCAGAACAGTAAACTCATGATTTATAAATATTAAAATTTGGGGAAGCGAGAAGTAAAAAAGAGGAAGAATAAGAATAAGCGTAAAAATAACAGTAAAACAAAAACAAAAATAAAAATAAATAAAAATAAAATGAAAGTTAAGAATAGTGTGAAAAAAAGAATAAAAATAAAAAGAAGAGGAAGACGATGACGATAATGATGATGATGATGAAGATGGAGAGAAAAAAGAAGGAGAAATTATTTATGGCCAATAAGCACTTAAATTAAAAACAACGTTGGAAAATCATCTTATCCTTTCTGCTTTACTGCTGAGGCACAAAATTTCTTTGTATAAGGCTCATAAAAGAGGGTTGTGGAAATTTGCATAATTTAGCGGCGGTACCATCAATATAAACTTATGCACAATTCATCCACTGTTACTGGTTTTTACTAGCATTTCGTCATGCCTTTTATAACTTTACGTCAGTTTTTGGAGGATTAATCAATAATTTATTCAAGAATAGTCTGAGCGTGCGTCTCAAAAAATAATTCTTTTCCATGACTCTCCTAAGCCTGATTATGTAATTTTATAGCTGTCTGTCGATAGCACTGATGCTGATATGTACCAGGCCATTTGCTGACATTTAACAACAGAATATAACATTTGCTCAAAATAAACTTATACAGAAATTTAAAAGTTATTTATCGGCACTTTTCTAATATTCAGCCCGTAAATTAAATTTTAACATATTTTGTTGCATTATATGTTAATGTCAATTTTTTGCACTTATTTGTTCATATTTATTTATAGTTTTCTTCTTAAGTGGTTAAATAGTGATGGCCGGCCACTATATGACATTACAGTTTGGCTATTGTTATAATGTGCTTTAAGTTATGCAAATGTAAACAAGTAAATTATTAAAAAGATTAAAAAGATTAGTCCATAAGACGAACATTTTTTAAAAAGTACCGTAAATCAAAAATCAAAGCAAGAAGAGTGTTTTACGTCAGACAGAACTGTGGTGCTTTTATCAGAGATAAATTTCTGTCTCTAATTATCAAAATAATATCTCAATACTGAGAAAAAATTGAAGTTTTTAAATTTTGTTAAAAAAATTTTGAACTTATAGTTCAACAAAATACTGAGTCTAACAAAAGAATAAAATTGTTTTTAATCTTATTTTATTACATTGCCAGTAATGAACAATCCTGATGGTTTGTTGCATTTCAGTCAGTACGACCAAGTGTCAAAAAGATATTTGAAGAAAGCAAGAGATATAAAATTAGAAACTCTACAATATAAAGCTCATTTCAATTAAAAATTTTAAATATATATTTTTGTTGCAGAAGCCCTGCTGGCAGAAAAACTAGGTTTTGTAGAAGCCTGTTGTAAAAAAACCAGAGAAGGATTCAATATGCTGCAAAACGAGTAAAGTTTTATAGCAAAACAAGCCCTGTTATAGTCTGGAACATATTTATTAATTCCTGTCAGTTGTTTACACTACTTGTGAAAACTTTTTAAACCACTTTTTAAACTGATTTTTTAAACTAGTGATTAATACCAAACACAGAATATTAATAAAATATATATAATTTTTTTCTATTTTTATAGTTGGTTCCAACAATAATACATCATTATTTCTTTAGTTTTTCTGTCTCCTGTTTGCTGCACATATATACATATATATATATATATATATATATATATATA